GCCATTTGTTTATATTGGAGACCTGGGAATAGGGTTGCATCAATACCTTTGGCGATGCTCAGCACCAACATTTGCTTTACTGTATTTTGAAATTAAAAAAAAAAAAAAGAAAGAATGTCATAACTAAAGTAAATCTTTAAAAATTCGAATTTTCCCACAGTGACAATTAGGATGCTTTTAAAGTGAATATCAAATCCTTTTAAAAATAATTTAGGGCCCCATTTTTGCTCTTGCTCTAGGAGCTATTTTGTAGTTCAGCACCGTCTAGGAGTCAATAGTTAGACATCATTTCCTGTTTGATTCTATCAACTAAAATATTTTCAAATCTGCCTGCTCTTCTCTGGTGCCAATGAACTATGCTCTATGCTAGCCTGACCACATGTCTGACATTCTGCAATAGCCTCTGAACCCTTCTCACTGCTCCAATTTATTCTCCACAAAGCAGCCGGGCCAGAAACAATGATTCAGGAACACATAAAACTGATCCTTGCTGTTACTCCACTGCTAAAAACCCCTCAGTAGTTTCCCATTGTCCTTAGGACAAAATCTTAGATCCTTAGCAGACTTAAGGCCCTGCCATCTCTCCAGGAACAAGACTCACTTTTTGGAGTTCCTGGAATGAGTCAACTTCCTTATGAACATTTGCATACAATTTACTCTCTTCCCTGAGGTCTTTCACCCTTCCTAGCTTCTCTTTCTTCTGTTCATAGATTTGATGTTCTTTCTTCATATAAGCCTTTCTTAACCTACCACACCAGGTCAATGATCCTTGTTAAACAGTTTCTTAGTAATCTTTGCAAGTAAATGTTTAATCTCTCCTCCTCATTTTAATGCAAACTTCCCGAGAAAGAGTTGTTAACACACTCTAATACACACAAGTAGTTCAGGGACCCTTGTATCCAGCTTCATCTGATTCTAAGGCCTATGTCCACAACTACCACATGCACATGTGAGGGGGAACCAAAACCCCCCCCAGAATTTATTTATAAAAAAGTGTGTATTTAGTCTTTCATGTTTAAACTTCAGTCACCTTCAAAGTACTCTCCATTTGATGCAATACACCTATCTACATCTATTGAGACACTTTTTTCCACAGCTCAAAACAGTTTTTGATCTTGTCAATTTTGAAGCCTTTTAATGCTTCTGTAGTTTTTTGTTTCACCTTTTCCACATTGGCAAAATGTTCCCCTCCGAGAACTTTTTTCACCCGAGGAAACAAACAAAAAGTCACTTGAGGAGAGATTGGGTGAATGGGGAGGTGGGGGACAGGGCATGGGGGCCATGCTTTTTTTAGTCAAAAACTGCAGAACACTCAGTGCGATGTGGACCTGTACACAATGAAATGTGCAAACACAATGAAAGAATCTCCAAAAAGAATAAACTGAAGCCCAGTGTCGCCTCTCAACAACAATGCTAGCTGGTACACTGATGCTGATGAGTTTCTAGAACACTGATGAGTTCCTAGGGAGGTAAGCCTGTACTACAAGAGGCTTGCCCTCCAAAAAATAATTCCATTTTGGGGGGATTGTCACCCTCATACATCTTCTCATCCTGGAACATGGATTTTTGTCTCTTTATTTTACGATGACCAAGTGCTGATGCATGGGAAACCAAGATTTGACTAGAAAAATATAACCTAGCTGAGAAAATTCCAGAACAATGATGTTGGGCTGTTGGTGAGTTCCTTTGTGCCTGTTTGTGTCAGTAGCAGATTAATACACCTCAGTTTTTCATTTTTGCAGACTACAGTCTGGACTAGCTGCTCTGGATTCTAGTTCTCCCACTGTGTTCTCCACATCCGCAAACAGGGGTGATATTAGCCACTTCACAGGGTTGTAATAGTACTCATTTATTCAATAAATATTTAATAAGCATCTAGTATATGCCAGGTAGGTGCTGAGGATACAAATGTGGTTTAGGATGTAAAGCATTTGGCCGAATACCCAGCTCACTTAATGTTACAGATGGTCACTATTACTAGCATTGTCATAATTGTGTGTCAGCGTTTGCTTATGTCACATAGCCGGAGTGAGAGCATATGAGATTTGTAACGTTTGCCACTCTTGGGCAGGGGCCCTGCGGCGCCTTGATCTCCACCAGTACAAGCTGAAGAGCTCCAGAGCATGCCCGCCCGGCGTGGCCGCCCCTCCCCTCCGGGCCGCCAGAGGGCGCGCAGTCTCTAGCGCCTCGCCCGCTGCGCCTGCGCCGCACCGACCGCTCGGCCTCCGCTCCCCTCCTCCCCATCCCCACCTGAGCCCGCCCCCCCCCCGCGCCCGAACGCCCCGCCTCCGTTGCCCCTAGCGGCTGTTTGTTGACTTCCGGGCGTGCGATCGTGGTCGATGTCTGGAGTGTCCCTATGGTGCCCGGGGGGGCGTTCCGCGGCCCGCATCAGGGCTGAGGCGCTGCCTTAAGTCCCACCAATTCGCCCCCGCCGCCCTTCGGGTCCAGGCGCAGGCTTCTAGTACCGCCCTCGGCATGGAGGCACCCGAGGAGGTGGTGCCCGGTGAGTC